AAAGGAAGAAAGGAAGAAAGGAAGAAAGGAAGAAAGGAAGAAAGGAAGAAAGGAAGAAAGGAAGAAAGGAAGAAAAAGAAAGAAAAGTAAAAATTACAAAGAAGAGGTTTCCGATCTTTTTGACAGTGGTTATAAATGCATTTATAATTTACCTTCTCTCTCTAAAGTTACATCACAATTTCCTTCTTTCCATAAGCTACCTTTTCTAATTTTCAAAGCCAGAAATCACAACTTCATTTCTTTCTCTTTTCAGCAATAGGTACATGAGGGGATTTGCAGTCACTGATAAATATAGCTGTTGGTCATTCTCTAATCAAACATGTTAACTTTGTCATCGTTCCTAGCTCTGTCACCTTCTCCAACCATTCCTCTGTTGTGGCTATTTCAGAGGCTTTCCATTTTTGCATATATAATAGTTTCACAGCAGTAATTATATATAAGAATAATCTTCCACGGCTCTTTTCTGATTGTCCATTAATCCCAGCAAGAAAAGTTCTGGTTTCAGTTGAATGTTGATCTTTAAAACTCTTTATATCGTTATATGTATTTGAATCCAGAAATTTCTGGCTTTTTTACAAGTCCACCAGGCATCATATAGGGACCCTTCATGTCCATATTTCCAACATAAATTTGAAGTACATTCATATATTCTAGACAATTTTTCTGGAGTCATATACCAACAGTACATCATTTTATAAAAAGTATTTTTTAAGTTATAATATATGTTTTGATCCTTTTAACCACATATTTTCTCACTGTTCTATCAGTATGCTGTGTCCAAAGTTCTTAGTCCATTTTATCATAGAGTGTTTCACTTGTTCTTCTTCCATTTCATATTTCAGTAAAAGTTTGTAAATTTTGGCAATTACATCTCCATCATTTGTACATAGTTCAACTTCTGTCTTCTGCAGCTCAGTTCCAAATGTCCTATTATCTACCTTAAATCGTTCTCTTAATGATGCCTACAAAAACCATTAAAAACTACGTAAATCCCTCTGCAGCCAATTTCTCTCTTGATTTCATCTTATATTCTCCATGTTCCTGTTCTAACAATGCTCAATAAGTTAACTATTTCTCTTTACCTATGGTTCCTTTCCTGTAAAATGCTTCTTGTGCTGAGATTCATAAAGGCATTTTTGGGCACAGTCTGGATTTATATCTGTTCCATATTCTCCATATGGCGCTTCTAAGATAATGATTCATAAACTCTCCATTAACCTTAATTTTATCATATCATCGAAAACCCTGCCATCTGAATCTCAGATCATGGCCTTCTAATTCTAAGATCTTCTTATTTCTCAGCAAAACCCACTCTTTCATCCAGTCTATGTAGCAGGCTGTGGAATGCAATTTCATATCAGGCAGTCCAAATCCTACTTGTTCCTTTGCATTTTGAAGTATTTTAAATTTAACTCTTGGTTCTATCCCTTGCCATACAAACTTAGATAAATCTTTCTGCCATTGTTTAAATGGTACATCAATTGTCATGATAGGTATTGTTTGATATATTTACTTTTTTGTTGTTATAGTCACTCTTATGTTAAAGCACTTTTGTGTTTTTTTTTCCTTTTTTGTAATTAATAAAAATTAATTAAAAATAATAGGTACTGTTTGAAACAAAAATATCATTCTTTGCAAAACATTCATTTTTATCACAGACATTCCCCCCCACAATGACGATTGTAATTTCTCCCCATCTTACCATTCCTACTTGATTTCATTCCATATCTTAACATAATTATTCTGGTATACCAACATCCCTAAATTGATCCCTGAATTGAATCACATACTTTTGCCAGACACAAATATGTAACTTTTTATCATTTTCCTCAATATATAAATGAACGAGCATAATATTTTTGACTCACTGGTTGAACTGGGTTTTCTTTATCTAGTTTTAGGACTTCTAGTGAGAAGAGATCATGTTTTAGGTCATATTTAAGCAGAAATATTAAAAATTGAAAAGGGTTCACAAACTTTTAAGCCCCACTGTAAATGGATGAATTGATACATTACAACATGACTCCTTTCTCCTGAAGTAGACAGATCTCCTATTTATAGATTTGATTCTCCCTTGTTTGCAGTGAAACAACTTTTCAAGCTGTTTCAAGTTGATGCTGCTGCTGCTGTTAGCTAGTTACTGAATGTGGGACTTTCTGGTGCAATCTACATCAGTTAAATTGTATAGAGTGAAGATGTAGGTGGATATTTGACCCCTGGTTTGTGCACTATTCCCACCCTCTCTACCTTCCAAATTGTCAAAATCACATTGTGTTGTGGAATCTCAAAGAGAAGACTTGAGCATCCATGAAGCAAAATAGCGGTGAATAGCCAAGCAGTCAAGGAGCTTCCTGAAGGATGTAGTGCCCTTGCTGTTTCCTCATGCATTCCACAGACATCACATTTCCCCAAACCATTGCATTTTATTAATTACCATTTAGAGGTAAATAAAATTGCTACGGTTAAATGAAGTTGGAGCATGTTTTGTTGGGATTGGCTGATTAGTGACAGCTCTCCTTGGTGCATGGTTGATTTCTGCACTCTTCCCTGTTTCAGTAATATAGACTTGACCATCAGAAAAAATTTCTACTGGCTTTATTTGTTTATTTAGACCTTTCCATGCTATCTCTTTCTTAAAACAAAGCACAACAATGAAAGATCTCATCAAATAAAAACACCAAATGAAAACACCCGAACCCAGTTAGAGGTTCTCATTGTCCAATATCTGAACAAGCCAAGAATCTCCTGGTCATTTCCTGTCATATGGGGGGAAATCAATACCTCACCACAAAGGCTAAATCTTTAGTTTAAAGTGTTGAGAGTCAGTTTTGATTTTGTGTGAAATTTAACAGCAGTTCTCATTGTGGAAACAAGACAACAGCAGTTGCCACTTTTTCATCCAGTCCTGTGTTTGAAATATGTATTATTTCATTCACTTATTTAAAAGAGTTGTACAGCCACCAATCTTATGCAACATACGATTATATTTTTTTCACAAAAATATCCATAAAGAAACGTATAGTGAAACCTTTGGAGATGCTGAAATAGTATGGTATGTTGAGTGCCAGAGCTTAAATTTGGCAACCACTACATTATATAACAGGATGCAGTTATTATGGCTTATTCTTTGTCCTCATTAATCCCTCCTTATTATTCAGCTCAGGTCTGAACAGAATAATATAACATTTTGGAGAAAAGATACAGGCAAGCAGGGCAGCCCCAGAGGCTAAAATGGAGAAGATCTCCACGGCTACCATGTATTTGCCTTTGGTGCTCAAATAGGTTGGGATAAAGGTCAACCAAACACTGCAAAACATGAGCATGCTGAAAGTGATGAACTTGGCTTCATTGAAAGTATCTGGCAATTTTCTAGCTAGGAAAGCCACTACAAAGCTGATGATGGACAGAAGTCCCATGTAGCCCAAGACAAAATAAAACATGAAGGCAGATCCTTCATTGCATTCTGCTACTATCTCACTCGTCAGGGATTTCATGTCCAACCTTGGGTATGGGGGAGCAATGGCAAGCCATACAACACAAATGATAGCTTGAATGAGAGAGCAGGAAAGGACAATGAAGTTGGCCAGTCTTTTTCCCACCCATCTCCTCATATTGGATCCTGGTTTGGTGGCCATGAAAGCAATAATCACAGTGACAGTCTTGGCCAACACACAAGAAACTGCCACAGTGAAGATGATGCCAAACGCAACATGCTGGATGAGGCAGGTGACCTTGCGGGGCCGTCCAAGGAATAGGAAAGAACAGAGGAAGCAAAGCAGGAGGGAGGAAAGAAGAGTATAAGTGAGTTCTCGGTTATTTGCTTTGACTATGGCAGTGTCTCTGTATATAATAAAAGTAGTAAACACCAAGGCTGTGATGAGTGAAAAACAAAGAACAATTGAGACTAAACTCATTCCCAATGGTTCTTCATAGGAAAGAAAGGTGATTATTTTGGGGAAGCAGCTATCATTGCTCAGGCTTCGATATTGATCATCTAGGCACTGGATACATTCATCCATGTCTGAAAAGAAAAGAAAGAAAAGAAATGAGAAGAAAAGAAAAGAAATCTCAGAAATAATAATGTCGCATTATAGCTTGACTGGATTAGAAGCCAAATCAATTCAGCTCACTTCAACATTGTGTAAGAGCCATCAAATTACACATCTTCATATTAAAAGTCAAGACACCACTTATGATGGAAGATCAGACTGACTCTCAGAGTAAGTAGAGCCATTCCAGGAATGCTACAAAAAGCAATAACTGTTCCTTGATTTTGTTATGCATGAGTAGTACTAGAGAAAAACTCTGACAGACTTTCAAGATTCTGCTATAATATTTTAACAGGAAGAAGAAGTCCCAGCAGTTCCTGTTTTTCAATCTTGCCTACCTCTAAACTCTGACACACCTCAAATTGGGTTGCTTCCCTGGTCTGGATCAAGCCAATCCTCAGATGTGGAATGACACCACTTTACAGAACCCTAAGGATAGAAAAAGCATTAAGGGTTCCATGTCACCTACCTGTCTTGTTGGAGATCTTTCCTTCTGGACAGGGCAAGCAATCATAGCAACAAAATTTCTCCCCTTCCTTCTTTTGCTTCTGAAACCCTGGCTGGCATGAATCACTGCACACAGAAATAGGACATACCTGTCCATAAAAATCAAAAGAGTCCAAGTTGTGAGGAGTTAAGAAAATTTAAGCAGCAACAATACTGAATTTATCCCAGCCCTGCAACATTCTTGACACTGACACATTTTGCAGCAATGGAAATTTGTTAGCCCAGATGGCTTATCTAACTGAGGGAAAATCTGACAAGAAAATCTAAGAATACATACCTGATTAAAGGTTCTGGGCCACTGAATCATTTCATCATCTATGAAGACTTGTTTTCCTTCAGAAGCCATTGATTTCACCTGCCCAATTCTGACTTTATGGAAGGAGTTGTTTGGAAATAAAATCATGTGCATGATATCCAAGGCAGCAACCATTTCCCTTCTATCATTAAAATATATATTCTCTCCAACTGAGTTGTTGAATGAAATGTCACGAAGAAATGCATGTAGCTGGGAGGAAGATAAAAACAACAGAGGGATAGTATAATTAAGAATACAATGTCAATCTATGAGAAGTTTGAAGTTCAATTGTTATCTAGGAGATAGTATAGGAGAAGAGCTGTGTTAGTCTATCATAGAAAAAATCTGAAGCAGTGTGATAGTTAAAGGAGTAAGGAAGATGACCTTGACCAAACTATGCATATACCTAGGCATATTTTGTAAGTTACCTAGGCAAAAGGAGGGGCGGGGGTAGAACGAATTCCTAGCAGAAAAAGCTGAAGATCCACTTCTCTTCCTTCTCTCCCTGCTTCTCACCCTACCCATGGGTATCTTCTCTTGCCCCTCTTCTCCTACTCTGGGTGGTAGACAGGTGGACACTTGTGAAAAATGCACTGATGCCCCGAAGCTACTGAGGCTTTGGGCAGACTACAAATCTACCAATTGATTGGCATACATGTCCCACACCAAAAGCATGGGTGGTTTATGCAGAGAGTATGGAAGATTTCCACCTTGATGGATGGAATGGCAAAAGGGGCCAAAGCATTATTTAAAGTCCAAAACGGCCAGATAACATTTGGAAAGTGGTTCAGATAAAAGCTTCCCTGATCACTAACTCTAAGAAGGAGTAGGTGGTCCAGCACAATCAGGCTTGCAAGATTCTTTTATTACAGCCAATTTCAATTAAAGCCTTCCCATAGAGTTAATTTCCTGGCCATCTCTACCTAGTAGCTCTGACAGGTAGCAGATTTTCCAACTAACCAATTTTATTAAAAAGCATACACTTTCCTCAAATGCAGCTCACTTCAGCTTCAGGTCTGGAAGGTGATTGTCCATTTCAGTTAGGAAGATCCCAGAAATACTATCGAGTTGCCAAAATCTGCTCTGTAGAGTTAAGACTATGCCTTCAGAAGGTCATCATCATGAGACAATGGGCAGGGCTAGCTTTAGCCTAAGGCCAAGTAGGCCCTGGCCTAGAATGCCAAACATAGGGGGCACAGACACTGTCCCTACTTTTGAATCATTCTGAAAATGCAAATCTTTTCATGCAGCAGGTGGCACCATCTGTCAATGTGGTCTAGGGCCCCGTATAGTCTTGAATTGGCACTGACAATGGGACTAACTTTGATAGTATAGATCAAGAGGATGTTGCTTTTTGTGGGTAATTTACAGCCTATGACCGTGATCAAATGTTGTTGTTCTTTAAGCAGTGAGAATGCTTAGTTATCTGGTAGATTGAAATCAATGTTGTATTGAACACTCATGCACAATATAATGAATTCTAGTTGCCCTTCTTGATGAGTTTAAGGAAGGATAAGTGATAAATTCTCCTTTAAAAAAAGAAAACAAACAAAACAAGAAACCACTGATAGAGGGAAGTGACTAAGGTGTAGGACTGACACTGAGGAAATCAGGTTCTAGTTCACACTCAGCTGCAGAATATCTTTGGATGTAAGAACTTGCATGGAGCCTGGGAGAGATTCACATCTAGCCTCTCCCATCAGCTACAATTACAGCTTCCCAATTCCCATGCAAAGGTTTCCACCAGCAGAGGGATAGGTTGAGTTCTAACAGTGGGCTGCTATGATATTAACAAGAGAGGCACTCTCTCTCTCTCAAGTCAATGTATCTCACAGGGGTTTTCACTGGAGATAGGAGGAAACTGTGCTATGGATGCCAACTTAAGCTCCTGGCCAAAAAGCTATATAGAAATTTAGCCAACAATCAGAATGTTTTTCAAACATCAGGTTGACACAGATTGTAATAATAAATATATGATGTAGTGAAACAATAATAATTGTGTTATGAACTCTTGTAGAACCAAAATGGTTAAAGCATTGGACTGGAGAAACCAGGTTCACATCCACCTTTACCAATGGAAGCTGACTGCAGGCTTTGGTCCAGGTGCTCCCTTTCAGCCCAAGAGCCAGAATAATCCTCCCTTTATTTTTAGAAAACCAGGCCAACACACATTGCTAGCTCATAAATACATGTTGTAGTGAAGCTATAATTGCTTTAAGAAATACCATAGAGCTATAGCATGTTTAAAACATTGGACTAGCCCTGAGGAGATGCAGGTTCAAGTCCATCCTTCATATGGAAGCTCATAAGGGACTTCAGGTCAGTTACTTTCTCTAAGTGCAGATTTCAGGGAATCTTGAACACCTGTTGCCATGAAACAGTTTCCCGATTGCCAGGGACTACAGTACAGTTGAACTCACATTACAGTTAAATCCACAAACATATCAAATGACCTCTTCTCTTCTCTTCTCTTCTCTTCTCTTCTCTTCTCTTCTCTTCTCTTCTCTTC